ACACACACACACACACACACACACACACACACACACACACACACACACACATCATTACACACTCTTTTAGTAACCAGGGCCTCTGGAGCTCAATCCCAGCAGAATCAAATAACAGTTTATTATGTAATAGATTTTATGAAGTCTTAGATAGGTGTGTCAGGTCATACAATTAATATGTTATTCAAGTAGCAGCCGTGTTAAAGACTGTTCAAGCTGTTCAAAAAAAAACGTTAAGCATAGCTGAAGGCAAACCGACAACAATAAAATCTCTATATTAAGGATGGCATATTGATAATAATACATTGTTATAAATAAAGTTTCAGTAAGTTTACAAACTCAAGCTGACCGATATGATCCAAAAGTTTCTGCACTATAATGTATACGTGTCGTCTCTACTAAGGATGGGAGGGGGGGAGGGGGGAAGCTGAAAATTAGATTTCAGAACGATTTGCCTGTCTAGAGGGCTGAAATTTTGATACAGTTTTAGTTAGCTTTGGAAAGAGTTCACTAATTCGCACCCGTTGTGCGTGAAGAGGTAAGGGTAGACCAGATGTGGGTGTGGTGGGTGGGTGAACCCCAATGAGCAGCAGTTATGAGCGGACGTATACCATTGAGAAATTAGACTGAAAGCATAATCAAAGCAAGCATCAAAAAAGGTAGTCTTTATTTTCTTCGTCTTGGCTCGGTTTTTCTGCGCTTGACACCGCTTTCTTTTTCCAATTTGTTTTTCACTTTTGTCACATTCCTGTTAGATAATTGTTCCAATCTTGTTATGTCTTTTATACAAAGTGCCCTTTTATACTTTCTATTTAATGTAAATTTAATTCCTTAATTTGCACTTTGTATCTTTTGTTTGTTTGGTGTTTTTCACTAAATTTGTATGATTTTAGCATAATTTTAATTAGAGAGCTGGTATTATGAGTGCAATTTTGTCCTTTATTTTTTTGCCGTCATTAAATCATTTTCCATTAGTTTGTTGTTCCACATTGTTCCATTACAGAATCAATCGACAAGTGAGTCCGTAATTCTCCCCACCATCATATCAAACAAGCAAACAAACAATTTGTGTTACGACGCATTGGGGTTAGGTGCTCGTCAGATTTGAGACGTAAGGAGTTACTGGTATCAAGTTAAATCTTGTTCTTTTGTCTTTCTTTTGACGAAGATAAAACCCATTTACTTGGAATAGCCGTTGAGATATTTGCGATTGAAGGTGAACGTCACCTGGTGTCAGAAGAAAAATTACTGAGAAAAGGGCCGCCAAAGTTTGGTAAATTCTAAAGCTTCAAGTTTACATTTTTATGCTTTTCTTCAACAGTCTCTGTAAAGTTCACACAGAAATGCGTTTTCAGTTGGGTACATAAGGTGTTGAGCCAAAACAAAATCGATTAAAAATTGCCCGATAGATGGGAAAATGCCAGTTTCTTCGATTTCATAATTTGGTCGCCCGCCTGATTTCACCACGATGCCTTGAGCTGACTCTTTCTCTTCTTGTTCTTTGGTTGTGTCTTGCTCCTTCTTCAGCCCACATCTAAAACAGGACCAAACAAAAGCCATTGTACAAGTGGAACAGTTTTCGCAGTTGGCAACTTTTTGCGGGATAAAAAAAATAATGTCCTATCACACCCGTAAAATAGTAAGACATACCCTTAGAGGTTCCTTGATTTCAAATACAGTGATGTCATGTTCTTCTTTTAGAGCATATACAAAAATCCAAGATCTGAAGGGAGTGAAGTACTATTTGGGCATTCTACTTTCTCTAGGTCTGCAGCCCAGACAAAGCTCTACCATGCCTACTGTTTTGTTAAGATCGTCTGTAAGACGTCAAAGGCCATACATACTGCTGTGAAAAAACTGAGTGATTTACAAGCGGTGCCTGTATTGTATTTGTTCTGTTATTTGGTAAAAATGTCATTTTATTTTTATTTATTTATTTGTGTTTTGTTGTTGTTGTTGTTGTTTTTTGATTGGGTTTTTGTTGTTGTTGTTGTTGTTGTTGTTGTTTTATATGTTTGTTTGTCGTTTTTTGTTTTTTGCTTTTTGTTGTTGTTTTTCGGGGGGGGGGGGGGG